GGCTACAAGTCTGTCACTTAACATCAACACGTATTCCCAGCCTTTTGTACAAAGTTGAAATCAGATTGATAAAATTTTCTCACCCACAACTCTAGTCAAATCTCTAGTAAGGTTCAAATCATGAACGAAGTAATAATTTTCATGATGTTCTGAAGTCCAATTATTTTACTGTACATTAACTAAACACTCGTCGACCATTTTGAGATAAGAGTTTGATATTATTGGATGAACGCAACATTCTATTAAATTTATTCAGGTTAAAAGATTTACAATTTGCATTGATAAAAGGTATTTATTTCTATTAAAAGTAAATACTTTACTACTTAAGCAATTATGTTTTCTTCTTCATGTCAGAAGCATTATGAAGATGTTCTAGGAATGATTTCACTACATCGCACTGATGAAGCTATTGGAAATTCCCTACGACTAATATTTGACAAATTAAAGCTTACACTATTTTGATTCTAAAATATTGTCTTTTATGTACGTATTATTATAACTATTTTCTGCTCTTGTTGTTATGAAAATTATTGCCCCTTAGGCAATAGTACATGTATTATGTTTCCATGATATTTTATGACTTTGACACCTTAAATAATTCTTGCAAAAATTTAACACGAAAGCGTTGCTAATGTATCGAACTATGCTTTGCAATCTGTGCTCTTTTCACATTTCAACTTGATAAAAAAATCTTTAAGTAAAAGTACATCCCTCTTGATATTGTGACAAAATATCAATTTTTGAAAAGTGAGACAACTTCATTTACTCAATCTACAGGGTAATTATGCAAGCATTCGCTCGTACCTTTATCAAGCGTTTAAGAAGATCGATAGTACGGCTAACCCTCTTTTCATCAATACACAAAAGGCGCATTACTTTACCCGTGACAACACACATAGAAACGTACAAACATGGAGGGGGCTGACCTCGTTTTGACATGCAAGATGTGTCCGGCAGACTCAGTGTATTGTGACGACGTCCAAAACTTACTGCGACACACTTATTTCTGTGGACACAGAGAAAGATAACGTGCGTCTGAGCGTTTGCGAAAGAAAGTCCCAGTGGGAGAATCCAGGAGTTTATGACTACAAGACGCACATTCAAAATAGCCCTCAAGAGAGAAAGAGGAAGGAGTTTCAAGTTTGAAGGTGAATATTTTAATGACGTGCATTTCTTCTGTACTGAAACTACAGGTACGACATGGAGTTTAGTATAGCTAACTTTTTTCCTTTCAAGAAGGTCATGCAATACGGGGCATAACCTATACGTCATCCACAGACCTCTACAGAATAATACAAACTTGTACAAGTTACCCATCATACCCAAGTTACATGTAACGTATCATTACCGATCAATGTCTTACCTGTACGCCTTATGTCTTTATGGTGACAGGTGCGGTACACCCAGCTGAGTCCATTTTACAGACAGGATTGTGGATGTAGGGTATCGACTAACCCCCCCCTTTATCAACGGTTAAATAAGGGACAGTCACACTGTGACATTCAAGGGTGAAATTATGCATAATTATTTAATGATGTCTTTAAAAACCAGTCCATTAAATATTCGATGGAATTACTACCTAGAGTCTGTATATATTTTGTCTTCATAAGTTTCTAGTCTCCATATTCCTATAAACTCCAAATAACGTCAGTATAGTGATATTAATTAACAACACGTTAGCTTTTCAATAAATCTTCAGTACAGTGTATCATTTTTGCTCGGTATCTTTGACTCTCAGATGTGATCAAGTCACCAGAGCAGCTGAGTGAAACATAGTATCAAGCAAAAAGGGTTGTGCTGTATTCAAAACTATCCAGAGTGAAACTTTTTAGTTTCGCCACACGTCCGTCATGACATCTTGAGGACACAAAACACCTTTGCTCAATACTATATACCTAAGAGGAAAAACAAAATGGCTAAGGTCTGAAAAATGGTAAAGACATATTCAATAAGGAAGTAATGAAAACAAGCCAGGGGGCGGGGTGGAGGTTTAACCTGCAAAAGAGGATAAAACCAATCAAGATTTTCATCACTGTGACTTACATATTACATTCACACAGTCTTCATATATTGCGCTGTATTTAACTGTGAGTTTTTATTCTCTTGTGAATGCCCCCCCCCAAAAAAAAAAAAAAAAAAAAAATGCCGATACCGCCAGAGTTCTATTTAATGGTTATACATCGTGTAATATTTATGTACGGTTGAAATCTCCACTGATACGATCAATGTCTATATTATGTTGACTTACTAATTGCTCCTTAATCAATGGACGGCAAACTTAATGATTTCTACCGTCGTCAAATAAAATATACATGTATATATTATTTCAAAGTACAAATCATAATTTTTAAGACCGAGCACGAGAACTACGGTCCTGAAGTAAAAGTACCTGGAAATGAAGATAGAAGGACTGGAGCGTGTAAATTTAAAATACCACATGAGAACAATTTTATTGCAATATGTAGGGCACAGGGTTGTACTGATAGATCGATTTTGTCTCGGTTCACTTGCTCTATTAATTTTTGGGAGGAAAATGCTAAGGAGGGTCATATGACTCTCTCTCTCTCTCTCTCTCTCTCTCCTCTATAGAACCTCTATAGACCCCCTGTAATGCAATTTTGGTATCTTGCTGTGTATTCATGGGTATTTGATATGATATGCTCTGTTTAATTCCGATCCACCAACTTGATGTCTCGGCCTTTTATACACACATGTAGCCAGGACCCAAGAATCTTTACTAGGTCCTTGGTCCTATCAAGACAATGACAGTTATCGCGGATGCTTCCACCCCCGTTGTCAAACATTTGATGCAACTTAATCCCTAAATACACTATGAGTTAATCCTAAATCAACAATTAACTTGCGATTACCTATTTTCCTTTCTTAAGAAGTAGGAGCATAACACCAACGTGATGATAAACATATAATGCTATATATAGTTAAGCGTTTTAGCCCAGGGTTACTGAATTACAGCTTTTTAAATTAAAATTAGTCAGTCGTAACATAATATTTTTGCTTATGTTGTGTAACGATATGCGCCCATCAGGAAATAATAATAATAAAGGCATACTACCGAAAAACTGCTCGAATGAAAAAATAAATAAGAAGTGATCAGATTAACGCATTTACAATGCACCCTACAATTTAGTCACCTATTCGACTGGAAATGACAAATGACAAAATGTCACTTGTTTCTTCCTGAAAAAACACCTACATCTCAATACTTTGTACGCGAGTACTTTTACAGTCCGTCACTGAGTAATAGGGCATTTGAGTGGTTTCTTATACCATAAACTCTCGGTGCCATTAAACGTAAAAATCATTTAAAGGCAAAGCACATTTTACATGCACGGAGATACACGATTTTGGCTGAAGCTTTCTCCGTGGTATTCCTTAATTAATTTTTTGGGGTTACAATTCTCTAGTTATAGTAGAAAAATTATTACTTAAATGTGATTTTAACAAAGCATTCGAATATACATATATGCTGATTGATTTTATCATTTTTTCTCCCATTGTTTATCTATTCGTCCAGTTGCCAGCCGCTGACTAAACAAATAATGGATCAAGATGAGGGAAGGGACCAAGTCCCGGATTTGAATGTAAGAAAGAAAAAGAAAAAGAAGAAAAAGGTATTTGAAACCAAGAGTGGGCATGTTTGCGAATGTTTTGCTTTAAACTTAACTCCCTAATAGCCTTGTATTTATATACTAATTTTGTTGCTGCTAAAGCCGCCTGGGCCAATTATTCAAAAACAATGTAAAAAAATTTACTTTCATCTTAAAAATTTGTACTCGAAAAATTCACCTGCTGACCTCCATATCCCCCCCCCCCCCCCCCCCGCCCCAGTCATAAACTGCCCTGGCTTGGTTTCATTCTGCCTACGTATTTTTTTTACCATTTTTAATTTTAATACGACTAATTTATTAATTGATTTATTAAATTGATTTATTAAATTAACAGCACGTGTGTACGAGTATATAGGAAAATGACCACAAATGCAATTATGGCATTACTTTGCTAACAATGGTTAATCATTTACAGATTAATTATCACTTAAATACACAAACACACACGTGCGCTTTCTTACACACACGCAAGCCAACACACACACACACACACACACACACACAGAGAGAGAGAGAGAGAGAGAGAGAGAGAGAGATTCAATCACTACGCAAATTATTTGCTGTGAGCACAAATGCGTAAGGAAAATGAACATCAATTGTTCAAAGATCAATAAAGATATTTTTCATTTAACTTTCTTAGAAGCATTCAAAAACGGAAGAGGAAGATCAGTCCAAGTCTCGCAAGTTCTCGATTATGTCCACTATCGAAAATGCCCAGCTGGAAAACGAAGGGGTTACTCCGGTGTCGAGAAAAACATCAAGCGAGAAAGATCCTCCAATAATGGTGCCGAGCAAGTCGGCGGGGATGCACACGGATGGAGACTATACGGAACTGATGAAAAGAAGAAAGCTTAGGGTATCTATCTGTCTGTCTGTCTGTCTATCCATCTATCATCATCATCATCATAACAGTAAAAATAAAAATAAACTGAAGAGAAGAACGCTTATGATTGTGGTTAAGTCTGATAAGAAATAAACTTCATCTTACTTTTCATTTTAGTTATCCCAAAGGCAACGAAAGAAAGGTCTGACTCATCTAGAGCAGCCAGCCATCACAATACCCCAGGAACAATCCAGCGTCAGTGATGATGATCACGAGCAACTACGGCTAAGAAATGAGGTACTTGACTGCATTAATAAAGATGACGTCGGTCGTTTGAGTGAAATGCACAGAAGATTAAAATCCAGGGAAAGACTTCCCCTTTTTGATGATAACGTTAATGCTTTGCATCACGCTCTTGCGGAGAACGCTTATGGCATCGTAGACTACCTCATGGAAAATGAGACTGCATCGTTTCTCATGGATGAATTCATATCCAGAGTTGCCGGTAAAACCTCAAAAAAGAACGCCCTACACGTGCTTGCCGAGAGAAATGACGTCGAGAGGGCTAGAAAACTAATCGGACGCATCGACAAACCTGGCATTCGCGCGAATTTCTTGGTGAGCGAAACTTTGGCCCAAGTCGAGGGTCAAAGACCAAGAGACCTGTCCCCAATCTTGATAGCTGCAATGCACGGGCACTTAGAGTTCGTAAAACTCCTCCTGTCTTTTGGCGTAGATGTGAACCATCAAAATAAGAAACATGACACAGCCATATTGTGGGCCTCTAGATTCGGCCATATTGAACTTGTGAGGTATCTCATCTCGCAACATGCTGACGTTGGTCTCGAAAACGACAAGGGTTCCACGCCCCTTCACTGGGCGGTGCGTTATGACCACGTGGAGGCAGTTAAGACTCTTATAGAAGAAGGGAAAGTCGATGTCAATCAGAAACGAAAACTTGGCCTCGTTTTACCTTTGGTTTTGGCATCGGCGCTTGGAAGCGAGGAGATAGTGGAATTACTGCTACAGCAAGGCGCGAGAGTTAACGAGGTTATTCGAGGAGGAGAAACCGCCCTTCAGCACGCGGCATCTGAAGGTCATCTCGAAGTCGTTAAAATCCTATTGCGCCACGGTGCCCAATTAGAGCAGGAGGATGACCTTGGATACACTCCATTATTACTAGCGGGTAGAAACGGTTTTGCAGACGTTGCCCTCTTTTTGGCGCGCGAGGGCGCTGATTTTCAACACGAAACTTTAGAGGGCAAGACAATCTGGGACTATGCCGTCGAAAACCCCGATTCTGACTTACTGGTCGGTCTTATTGATTACATGAGAGAAACGGCGGACTTCAACGTGTTTGTGGGAAACAATAAGAAAGACAAAGGTCCAGTGCCTTTCCCAAAAGGACGAACCCCATTGCACGTTGCCTCGAGCCTCGGGGTTTGTGATAAAATTGCCCTACTCATAGAACACGGCGTGGACCCTGCCGCTTGTGACGGCAACGATAACACCTTTCTCCATGTGGCAGCAACGACCGGTATGACGGAAGTTCTAAGAAAGTTCGCCGACGCGACAGGTGTCGCCAAACAGAACATCGATGGAGACACGGTAATGCACGTGGCGTGCAGAAGCGGGGAAGAAGACTGCGTTGAAGCTCTGCTGAAGTTTTCCAAAATGGACGCAAAGAATAACCGTGGAGAGAGACCGTTACACGCGGCGATCCATTCCCAGAACACCAACCCGGACATCGTAAAGCTCCTGGTCAACCATATTATCACCAACGATACGTGGACTCTGTTGGACGAAGTGGACAACGAGGGTAACACTGCCTTACATTTTGCTGCCCGCCAGACCAGCCCAGAGGTCCTCAAATACCTCAGAAACCTGAACATCAAACAGAAGAACAACGACGGCGATAACCCGCTTCACGTTGCGGCCATAAACGAAGCCTGCCCCGAGGTCTTCAACACCATGCTAGACATATTCAGAACACAGCGTGGTGGGGATATAGACCTCAACCAAAGGAACGCCGTTGGGGAGACACTCTTTCATATCGTGGCAAAGAAGGGGGACGTGCGCCGAATCGAACATCTTATCCGTATTGGCGCCGATTTGTCACTCCAAGACGCGGACGGTAACACTATGCTGCATACCACCGCGTTCTGCGTCGCCGATGATGATGCTTTTGTCCTTAAGGGTCTGGACATTTGTTCTTGTATCGTTGAGAATTCCGTGCGGTGGTGGTGCAACAAGCAGGATTTATCTTACCCCGACGACGATCGAGGCTTGTACCAAAGGCTCAAAGTGACATCCCTTCTCTTTTTGACAACCAAAATCTTCAACAACGAAGATACTAACGTCTTTGGATATGCGGCGCATCTAGGTGCCTTAGAGATCATAAGATTTCTTTTGAACGTTCCAGGTGTGACGAAATTCGAGACGCGTAATGCAATTAAGTATGATATAACTAATATATCAACAAAGTCAAGTCCTTCAAAAGGCCTCAAGAAGCACAGTACTGCCAAAGAACCTCGTCGAGGCTCGAAACCGGGGCGGTCAACTGTGTCCCCGTCAAAAGTTCAGTACGATGAAATGGACAAAGGCACGGATGCTTCCACCAATAATGAGCGCTCTTTGATCGAAATCATCTGCGATTCGCCCCTGGTAGCGCGTTCAGCAAAAATTTTAAGCATCACGCCAATATCCCAGATGGCAGACGACTTCTGGTCGACGTACCAGTGGCTCTACGGGTTTCTCATGGTGCTTCATGTGCTGTACATGTCGTTGCTGTGTGCCTATTGTGTTCCCATACTGCCTCCGCCTATAGTCAACGGTAATTACACATTAACCGACAGCTCCGGAGTTACGACAAACGTAGATTACGAAGTTTACATCTTCCCCTACATACTCTTCCTATTATGGCCGCTGTTGATAATGTTTGCAGAATTCTATTTTGCCGTGAGAGAGTGCATTATTCACAAACGCGCACCGAATTTCAAAGATTCCGAAAACGAACATGCAAATGTTTCCGACCGTTTGTTGCACGTATTATGGGTCTTCTTTAACGAGCACGTCACATATTTCATCGGGACTTTTTTCTGCGTCCTCGTAGTTGCGTGGTTCGGTCTCTATGCGGTGAAATACGAATACCAGGACTACGTTCTGGCCACTGCTATCATCATAGGTTGGCTTTATGGCATAACGTTCACAAAAGCGTTTGAAAGTATCCATCAGTTTTCTCAAATGTTAAAATTCATGATAATTCGCGATCTGACCAGATTTATGTTTGTCTATTTGTTTGTTCTTTTGGCCTTTGGTTTCGCTTTTTATGCGTTGTTTCAGGGCGTCGGGGTCCCGTATGCCGCTAAAACTCAACCAATGATGACGCTGTATTCGACCTTTATGATCATGGTAGGTTTTACAGAGCAGATCTCCTCCCTGTCTGGTGACGATTTTGACCAGACGGACCGCAGTCGCAATTTCTTCCAAGTTTTATTCACCTTGTATCTCATTGTCGGCACCATTGTTCTCCTTAATTTGCTAATCGCGCTAATGAATGACTCATATTCGGAAGTGCGACAAAAAGAGGCTGCTTGGTGGAGAGTGTATTCTTTACGCCTTGCCCTGCAGATTGAGCGGAGTACACCATTGATACCGAAACTAATGGACTTAATTCGACTCGGTAAACTAAACATGATGTTCGATTTAGCAGAAGAACGATGGTTCTTGACGTTATCGAAAAAGGCCATTCGAGGTTTTAAGGATTTGGCTTCGAGCAGTGATGAGGACGCCCTCACAGACACCGTAGCCCGCCTTGATGGCCGCTTGTACGAAATGGAAAAATCTCTTCAGTCAATAAACCGCAGGCTTGACTCTCTTCACGACACGCAAAGAATTATGGGTGCGCGTTTAGCCTGGGATTCTGCCCTACAGAAACTACAACCCAAAAAATAATGTGCCAGACAGTTATGCATCTTCAAAGTTACAAATGATATAATTTATAAGCCTGAAAGAAACGATTTCACGGAAAAATACAAGCTCGTTTTTAGGCTTCTTAATCGGAGTACTACTGGAAACTTTATTCTAGTATAGGCTCGTTTTACCTCAAGTCGGTGCTGACATTATAAGGCATGTGAAAACGTTGTGATATTCCAGTTTACTTGGTCAAACTTTATGGTTGTTATTGGTCTATCAAATTATTAAAGGTTATGGTTAACATGTGCCAATGCCATTACATTAATCAAAATTGCTTAAAATATTTTCGGGTAAGTTTATATCTAAAAGTGATTTGTTATGAGATCATTGAATCTTAATATCTGCGTTACGTTATTCGTCTGCTAGTTATATTGAAATTCATTTCCATATTTTACAATTTTATTTATTAAAATTTCGGGCCCACAAGGGGTTTCTAGTTACTCTTGTAATGGAGACATAAATATCACTTGTAACGGTAAAAACTTCTCGAAAGTGGGCGTTTAGATAACAATTTTCTCAGCAGTTTCAGTTAGAATATCCTTTAATGAAAAAGGGGAATTGCTGAAAATTTCAGTAAAATTGTTTTTTTTTTCGGATAAAGATATAAATGTGTATCTGTGATACTTGAAGCAATATGCATTATTGACGTAATGCAATGTGGGATTGTGATTGCACTAAATGAAGTTAAATATTGTGATAATGGATTTTATAAATGTAAAAATATGAAATAAATATAAAAAGAATTATATAATGCAGTGTGGCGGCGTTTTGGCCTTCGAGTGGTGACAAATAGTAATTGAAAACCAACAGGAACCCATGAACTTGATTTAAAGATATGTATGGATACCCGTTACATATGATAGTTACTTTCATTTCTTCAAGAGTCAGTTGCAAAAGGAGGGGGGTCCCTTAAACAAGTGCAATATCGATGTACAAAAATCTCCTTGATCTTTTCAAATTCTCAAATTCTCAAGGGAGAATAAGCATTTAATTGAGGTCATTCATTTTCCTCATAGGCTTTTGGTTAAGTGAACATTTACGAACATTTTCCATGTAAAAAAAAAAAAAAATAGAGCGGTAAAACAATCCATACCCGAAAAAGCTGACTTATTTGTGGAAAGAACATCCCTAACGATGACAGGCCAATGAATTTCATAAAATCACAAATGTGTTTTTATGTAAGAGATATCACAAGACAAAATCTAAATCCGATAGAGTTTATTCCAATTTCGCCACAAATACTAATAAAACCAAACAGATTAAAAGCTACCATTTCACACGCATTTTGCTACGTTTCGCGTTTTATGGAATGTGATAAAAACTTCAAAACTTGTTATTGATAACAAAATCCAACAACACCAGAACTGAATTTGATAACAGTAGAGACACCAAATACGGGAAACTTGCAACAAGGCTACGGATATTGCTTGAAAATGATTCTTTTTCAAATACAGTGCGCAAGATAATGAAATACAGGTCGACCGAAGAGAAAGCCAACTACTGTTATTGTCTGAATTCGAGACGAACTTTTTTAACAAGTGAGAACAGCATAATCGGAGATACAAATGCTGATGCAGCATAAGAATGGTGCCTTATTCTGTATTTGTCGGTATTCATGCTAAACACGTAATTTAAAAGAAAGAGCATCACATAAGTAAAGTCACTAAGGCTGTTCTTATTAAGTTTCGCAGCCGTCGTTTAAGCCGCAACTACGGTGATGGTCCCCTTCTGGCTCCTGTTGGTGAAGGCGTTGTTCCTGGTGCTCATGTAATGGTACTTTCCGGGACTCATCTTCAGAACAAGGCCCTCGAACGAGGCAGCAGCGTTGTTGAGCTGCGCCTGAAGATTATCCTTACTACCCACAGACTCGCTGCACTCTGTTGAGCACCTTTAAAAGGGGGAAAAAAATTATTAGTTTTATCATAAACTGGTTATATATAATATTACAAATAATGAAGCATACACCCGCTTACAAATTTTATTAACGGTCAAATGTTACTAAGAGTCGAGTTTACTATCTGTCATGATATCACATTCGTTTAAGAATCACGTTTATAAATCACGCAAAAATAGACCGTGCTCTATCATTCAATGCTTGAGCTGAAAAAAAAGCTTAATCGGAATGGAAGTCAGACAAAAACAATAAAATAAAATAATTTTATAAAAGTTAGAAAATAAAAACCGAAAGACTTAAGATAGAGAGGGTAATAAAGGGCAAAAAAAAGTAAAAAAAAACTTACTCATAATAGCCGGAAGTGGCCACATTGAGGGCGGTATTCAGAGGGTTTTTGCCGACCAGACCTGCTGAATACGCCCACACCACCTCTGTGTTGTCCCACATACTGGTGGCCTCGAATGGCGCCGGGAAGTTGTGGTTACGATCCAGAATCTGAACAAAGTTGTGCCTGTCGGTTCCTTGAAACAAATGAATATAATAAATATTTGAATTGACTTACATGAAGAAGATCTGCCTATTTAGCAGAGTTTCAAAGCTAAAAAATCACAATGTTGCATAGATAAATTATTCAAGAAAATTCATGAATATGTAATTACATAGATGGGTGAGTTAGAGAAAGAGTAAACAAGCAAATAAACGAGAACAAGATTTTCTCACCAATGAACAACATATCACAAACTAATCCAACGAGTTATATACGAAAATGTATTTTTTATCAGCAGGGCAAACGGGAACGAGATATCACTTCAGTTTCCTCCCTGAAACTTCAAATCTCGCTGAGTCTCGCGTTCTCGTGAACAAAATATCACGTGATCTTACCGCCTTTTCCCTGACCAGCGTCACCCGCCTGACCATCACCTGCTGGGTTGCCATTGTTATGCGTGTTGGAACCTAAGGGAAAAATACCAAAACGCTAAGGTAAAAATAAGTTTAACATGTATTTTTTTAAATATTCGTGCTTCTTGTTGTTGTGCTTTAGTGGCTAGAGATAATGTTACCTAGACACGTAGAGTCACTTTTATCTCCTAACAAACACATTAAAAAACGTTATTGATTTTTAAAGGGAGCAATAATGGCGATAAAAGAAAATAACTGGAGTCCACTGAAATCTAACAAGACCCCGCGATCTCCTTCTCCTCACCTGTCCATTGCAGATGGACCACATCGTTCGCCTTAAGGGTAAGATCGTTGGGGATAAAATCGTACTCCACTGCGGGATAGGTCTGAACGATGTTCCCTCTCTTTCCACGAACGTTCAGATTGTAAATGGTCTTGTCCGCGAGCTCAGTGGGTCGCGGTTTCAGATGGAACACGTGTGAACGGTCCTGGAATGTCCTGCCGAACTGAGCGGTGTTAATATTGAGGCGGAGTGGGGAAAGACCGGCGCCGATGTCCACAGTGGGGTTGCCGGTGATAGGGGACTCCCTTACGATGGTTCCTCCGACCCTATAAAGTAATATAAGGTAACGTGATATAACACAATTTCTGGAAACACTATGAAGTATAGTGATGCAATGCAAAATAACATTATCATTTTAAAAAGTTGTGCGGGTACGCACTTGGCTTTGAAATACTGGTGTTTACCATATCAGTGGTGTTCTTTATGCTGTTTATGTTTTAATTCAAGGCGAACTTTCACAAGGGAGAACAGCATAATAGGAGATACATCGTTCCTTATTCTGTATTTGAAAAATAATAAAAAAGATAATTCGATCCCTGCTGGTGCAAAAGAAATATGCAAGGGTGTATATTTCTTTTGCACCATTAGGTATGGAATCCTCTTTCTTTCATTCTCTCTCACTGTGCCCATAATAACATTCATAGTCTCAAGAAACTAAATTACAATGCAAGGTTTTATTGAATATTCTGAAATATGCCTTAAACCTAAGGCAATCAACCACAGAGAACAAAGCAGCATAAATTATGAAAAAGAAGAAAATGGCTATACTTACACCTTCCTATTGGAGGTATGATCCGTGTTGTAAGGATCGTAGTCATCGGTGGAAATGTTATATCTGTAAATATGCCAACACCGAGTGAGAAAATCTTCATATTTATTGTATTTCAACTGTCAAATTATACAATAACTGACATTTCTATAACTATTTTACAATTACTGATACACAATTACTGTTAATTAAGTACCCGGAAAAGGTAATTCAGCTAAACGCACGCGTTTTAGTTTTTCCCATTGAACTCGTTTATCGGTGGCATTTTGACAAGAGAGTGGATTTCAAATAACCATCCAGCCTTGCATGCACTAAACATTGGCAAGATATTGAGAAAAAATCCTATAATTTACGTAACTTTACAAAAACTATTACCTGACTCGAAGAATACAACGCTGGTCTGACCCGGATGGGAAATATGGAAGAGTCCAAGTGTAGTTGCTTGCAACGCCATCTCGGGTGTTTCCATTATGGTTAACTCTAAAGAAAAAAGAGAAAAACCTCATCAAAGTAAAAACAACATTAATTAATTCACTATCTTATACTTAACATTAATGAACCCGCGGTCCTAGAAATGCAATTTCGACAATACGAGTTACGAAAATAAGTGGATATAAAAAGTCCTCTCATTTACTACTTTTTTGTCAAAACATCGTGCCATCTTCCAAAAACAACGCGTTTTTCTTTAAACGGCTGAGTGTAAGTTTTTATATGGTACAGAGTACTGCACAAAGCATGTACAGCGTCAAATTATGACAAACCGGACCTCAGTGGTTTCTCGGCGGCCCAATTTTGTGAACGAGAAAAATGTGGTTTTTAATGTGTTATGGATAGGACAGCTGTCACATTATTCAAAAACTTATCCAGCTATCTCAAAAAAAAAAAAAAAAAAAAAAGATTGAAAATCTTTATACGAGTGCTCAAAATTTTAGATGCCAACACATAGAACTATGAGATCGCAAACCTTATATTTCTGGGTACTGTAGAAATTCAGCAAATAACACTTCTTACCAATACATTTTTTAAATTTGAATCATAAAACAATTCTTGCCAAAAAGTAGTTCACTGTCCTTCACATCAATTTTAGTATTTCGGCAATTTTAGAATTATAAATCTAACATCTTAGTTTCATTTACAAATAAATAAATAAATAAATAAATGTTATTATTGACTGGTCCAACTCACCTAGTCCAAGGAGCTTCCATACATTCTGGTTCGGGAAGTGGAACAAGGCATTCTTTACTTTGGGCGTCCACAGAGTCGTAAGGAATCTGCCAAATGTATTCAATATTGTCCTTGAGTCGGGCATCAATACATTTGGTCTCAGTATCGTACTCTGAAATAAGTTTTAAAAATTGATTTATGGGAAATAGTTTTGATGAGATTCTTCATGTGAAATTATCAACCACAATATTGAGTGTAATGCAGAAAGGTTATATAACATGCCTTAAATTTGCCTTTCATTTTTTTCTCTTCATTTTTCATGATTCATTATACATTTTTAAAATCTCTAATATCAAGTACATATAATCTAAGTTTCATCATCATTATCATCAGACATTTAACTCCTCTCCGAACTCGTTTTCATCTTAACGTTACGAGAGAGAGAGAGAGAGAGAGAGAGAGTAGCAGAGATCAGGTTCTTACGTGGAGCTTTTTCCAAATAATTGTAGAAATCGACCCAACGATTGCCGGGAACGGTCTCGCAAAGGCAATGGGAATTATATTTTGAGGAGTGTCTTCTCACAGTTTGAGTATCGTCATAGTATTCAACGCACTCGCCATAGTGCTGTACATTAAAGCTTTTCTTGGTGTAGTGACTGAAAGTAGAAGCAAAATGTATATCTTAATCCTACCGATAATTCTATGTTAAAACTGTCATATCCCAAAATGGCCTTATCCCCGCCAATATAAGACTAACTTTTCAATATGAATATGTAACGATAAAGCGATTGATTTCTTTTCCCCTGTTGAAATGTGTTGACTTTCTCATTACACTGTCCATTTTAAACAAGACGGATAACCTCTTTAATTGACTTTTTAAACGAAAACTGGTAATGTTAAGCTCCCTTTCAATATTGCCAAAAATTATGGCCAGCATCATGGTCATCTAGATTACAATCGTATTTTAAAAGTATATAACATCAG